CACAAGCAGACGGCATAGTAATATTCATATATTACTTAACATTTATATGAACTAAAAATAAAAATTGTTGAATTTTGAGGGACATAAGAACTACCGTGTACTGTACAACACTATTTATATCTATATTTAATTGTATAAATATGTTATTATTCTGCGACCTGGATGTGCCGTCGTCGTTTGTGCTATAAGCGAATTTTTTTGTGTTGCGCGCTCGGGAACAAAAAATATGCCCCTACTACACATGGGTAACAAATTTTCTGTGGCAATAAATTTTAATTTTGAGACTAAAAGTAAAATATGTAAGCCCCAAAAGAATATGTACCTAATCAAACTTACGCATACATCGACTCTTCGGGTAATATATAGCTGCAAGGCCATATCTCGAGTGCAGACGCCATATCGAGAAACTTCTTTCTTCATCTAAATCCTAATTGAACAAATCGAGATTTTTTTATAAAAATTACTTAAGTAGAATGAAATATGTGAGCAAATGTTTATTGTTGCCTTACACATTTCTCTTTTGTTCAATGAAATTATTAGAATTGTGAATCGTCTCCGATGAGTGACTACGATCGGCTTTTGCCATAGATGATAGGTATTATAATATAATATGTTGTCATCAGTTTTCGAGTTTTTGACTTCTTTGGCATACACGATACATTTTTTATTTCAAATTCCGAAACAGAATATTATTGGGAGTTTTTTAATCTATACATTGCAGAACACTTCACTCTTAGTATAGGCCATTTAGATTTTTAGATACACTACTGTCGCGAGTCAATTTTTACGTCCGGCATCTAACAATATTGTTTTTATTCTTAACGGTTAAACTATAACTTAGCATAGAACTCTAGAAGTGTCAAAACTTGAAAAAAATTCAAAATTTAACTTTGAAATTTATAGAAGTAATAAAAAATTGGATACTTTAATCGTGCCCGTAATATATTTTCTGGGCTCGGCATTAATATGTTATTAAACAATATTATTCTATAATAGTGTACCGATGTATTTGCTACAAAATTGTGTGGTTATATTATACTACCACACTGTATTGTAATAAATAATATAATATATCGTCGGTAAGTGACGGGGTAAAAAAAATGTATTGCTTCCCTTGTACCTACCTATATTTATTGTTTTATATTTTAGAAACTTACCCTACAAATTAGGTACTACAAGTATAGTTTATACTTTACAGAGGTCGCTGTAGGTATTTCTTAAAATAGGTAGTATTTAAAAATAAAAATCATGAACATTTTAGCTTTGTTAGTTAGGTACACATGAATTTACTAGACCAATTTGAATTAGTTAATGCCAAAAAATGTGTTAAATCAAGTACCTAAATAATAAGTCACATGTGACATGTCACATCGTACCATGCTGATATAGTAACACACTAACACATGATCCAAGTGAAATGCATTTCCAATAACATTAAAATGTAACAATTAATGCTGAATACGGTTTAATGCTTTTAAATATATGTTCAATAACAATTATTCTTAATATTTTTTGTTTTAAAGGCAGTTTCCAAAACGTACATAAATTAATATCAGTTGTACATTTTTTCAAACTTATAAGCCATATAACAGTTAAAATTTGCATTTACTTGTTAAAATCTGTACATATTTTATGTTTAAGGTAGTAGGTACATTAGTTACACGACATAGGCACATAAATAATGGATGAATTATTAAAAAAATGTGATTTTATATTTGTATTAGAAAAAAAATTATATAGCTGAAATTGAAAATATAATTATTTATATTTTTTTAGTTAAGCTTTGTAGTATTATATTGATGCATGAACTGAAAAATACAATGCTGAGTAATCAAGATAGGACATGTTTACTTTGATGAGCTGATTGGTTTTGAAATGATATCTAACATATTTTTTTTCTTCAGTTTTCGTATTTAAATTACTATTTTTGCCATATTTTGGCAGATGAAGTGCTTAATGAAGTATTGCAATTTAAATAGGTTAGGTTGGTAGATAAGATATTAAGAATAAGTAGATATTATATAAGTAAGCTTGCTTACAATTTTCAACTTTTAAAGGTAGAAATTGCAAATATGATGAAATCATAACTAACACAAATCTGCCATATTTAATTTTGTAGTCGTTTGAGCCAATTTCTACGATAGATAGATTAATATTATGTGGTACTCTTATCTTTTGAAATTTGTTTTTGCTAAAAATTTGTTTTGACAATTAAAACATATTATCTGCTATTGGTGAAAGTTTTTTAGAATTTCTCCTGAATAATAATTAATAAGCAAATAAAAAAATGAAATATTTATATTAGTTATTTTACATTTTACTCAAACTTAAAAAGAATTAAACAAGTCATACAATTATAGAGATAAATTATAATAAGGAAAAAGATACATAAAGAAAACTAACTATACGAATAATCATCAAAAAAAAATGATGAAATATATACTTAATTTAAAAATATTCTTATAGTGCCTTCGACCATATCACCACAAACCTCACATGTGGCCGGAAGCGTTGAGTTACATGTCGCACAATACCATCCATGACCACAGACCAACAGTATGTATTGCACCTGGTCTGGCAAATATTGTATATGGTGCATACATCCAAGGCACTGACTTCCAGTTGGATAGAGTAAGGAAGTATTTTGCATCCATTTAACTTTTAATAAAAAAATTGCACATTTTTAATATAAAATTACAAAAGAAAAATGCTACAATCCATACACTCATAATTACCATCTCCTAATTTAACGTGCATTATTTGGTTGGGTTGTGTGGTAGAAAATTCAATTTTGCAGACACCGCATTTTTCTAAGCGAATCGCACGCTCATCACAACAACATCAGTGATTGCAAGGCAACCAAATGTTGGCTGTATTTACTTGGGCTGTATTCTAAAACAGAAACTACAAAATTAGTCTGTGTAACGTTTTCTTAACAAAAAAATATTCTAATCATAATATAAAAAACTAGTCTTCCAACATAGGGTTATCCAAATCAAATGGCTGGTGAGCTTGTGGAGTAATTTGGTCTGAAACAAAATAGACAATTATTAACATAATATTTGAGTATTATAACATTTAAAATCAACCTACCATCAACAAGAGCATCATTTATGTCTAGCTCAACTATTTCATAGACCTCTTCCTCCACAGACAAATCATTGATATCTGGCTGTTCAACTTAAATAAAAATTAAATTGTGATTGAATAAGCGAATATTTTTATTATTTAACCATAAATTATTTAATTTATTTTTATATTCTTTATTATTTAGAATATTTTACAATGTAGTTACAATAAGCATATGAGCGTAAAATAATAAATTACAATACATGAGTACTTGGGTGGAAAAATCGCCCAAGGACGACACTCTAACATTTTACTTATAGAAATATTCTACAGCATACTTTCGTTTTATGGTAGGTCAAGTGGCTCATTTCGGTCTTCATGATTTGCTAATCATACAAAAAAAAAGTTATATTTAGTTAAGACACAATATATTTATTACCACAATACCACATTCTATTTCTATACATTTACATTGAATTTGGATAGGCGCCTCAATGAAATTTAAAATTCCTATAATATTGATACTTAGATTATAGTAACTAGAGTATACAATGTATTGTTAACTTTAATGTATAGTTTTATATTACTGAGAAGATTATGATCTTCAATGAATAGAATGTTGCCACTTTCTGGTTGTTGCCGCACATTTGGACGTTCTGGATGTCTGACCATTTGTGGAACTGCTGCAGCTGCTGATCGTTGACGACCATGCCCCCCTGGTCTTCTAGCTCCACGAATGTGGAATGGCAGCAACATAGGTGGCAGAGGCTGAAGTCCAACCATTTGCATCTGTAGCTGTCCCAAATCTTTAGGAAGGATTTCTTTAACTCAATTTATTGTCATTTAGTTTATACACTCAATTGAATTTATGTGGTACCAACCATTAGCTAAAGGGCCTTTTTCCATATTTGTGTATCCTTTCACAGAGTAGGAAGCTCTTCTTAAATATGCCATTGTGTCATAGCAGATGCTGTACGCTTTGTCGAGCATCAGCCAAAATGCAGTTATTTGTGTCTCTGCTAGACACAATTGATCTTTGTACCTTTAATTAAAGTTTGATTTATTAAAAACCATTAAAAAATTTAAACTTATTAAGTTTATAGCCTTACTCGCTGGCCGTTGATTGTTTGTAAGGTTTCCCTCTGTACTCTACTTTCAATGGAACGCAATCGATCTGCAAAATATTATTAAAAATCCATCATCATTCTAGTTGTCAATTATATATTTTTATAAAAATAAATTACGGTAAAAGGACCAGACTGGGGGATGTAGGCCTATGGTGGACTTTAGCATGCTGTGAAAACTTTCTACATAATTATTGGTACAGATCTTTACACTATAAACAGTGAACCCAAATGGACGTACTGTTGTTAACCAGTATTGTCGAACATAGTCCACTAACTGAACAATTCGGTTCAGTATGACCATAAGAGTTGACAGCCTTGTGATTGCCAGAAAATCCCCAAAAATGTGGAAGTCTTCGGGAAATTTTGAAATCCGTTGTGGTGGCAAGTGTGGTATAGCCCTAATCTATATATATAAAAAAAAATGTCAATATTAATGTAAGAATTTCTCATATGACCAGATCCTAATCCGTCAGTCATTGATTGTTATAACTTATTACCATTTTCACTATTGTGGAAACATGATGATTTTCGCTCAATAATGTTACCATGCCATGGGTCTGGACAAAACGTATAATTCCCTGCAAACAAATTGTACATTAGAGAATATAATTTCATTATTGACCAAGGTAAATAACAAATACTGAAATGCCTTAAAAATATTAGTTAAAAAACCTTTTTTTTAGTTATCATTATTTTTTTTTTTTTTTTAATTTCATTGCAAGTTTATTAAATTATAAGGAATAGATTGGTATAATTTATGATTTGAAATATTTCTGATGGTACAAACAATTATGATTTACGAAATTAATGTTTTTAATGTTTTGTTGTATTGTTTAATTATAGTGAAACTTAAAAAATATGTAATATTGTCTTTTCAATGTTGATTTACTTGTTCTTTTTTTGTATTGTTGCATTAATAACACTAAACACTCTATCTACTGATGCACTGCTAGGTAGTGGAGTGTTGTACTTCAGAAATACCTGAAAACTTAGTAAAAATGTTTTTGTAATATTACTACTAATAGTATAAGAAGTTTTCAACAAATCTTACTTTTTTCATAGTGGGTAAATTATGCAAACACTAGTCTTTGTTGGAGATCTAAATCTATCTATTTCATCACTAACTGTTGATTTTTCCTCTCGGGAATTTTGTGACCCGGTAAAAAAGGTAGATAAATTATCTTTCATTTGGTTATCTTCTACATCATTATTGTCATTATCACTGGTATGTAAGTCATAACAGGCACTTTTTAAATATTCTGAGCCCAATTGCTTTTTTATATCATTTTTAATCCATGGTTTTTAAATAGTGGGTGGCAGACTGCAGAATAATTAAAAATTTGTCTATCAAATAATCGGCAAACCTTGTTTTCAAACCTAAAAAACAAAAATTATTATCAATAATGTTTGTTTATTTCAGCTCAATAAAGTAAACCAAAAACAGCTAAAATGAAAAGAAATTAAATGTGCACAATTTAAGTACTTGGCTACATAAGACTAATGTATTTAAAAAATATTAATTATTACATACCAATAAGTATGGCAGTCACCAGAAGTTTCATATAATTAGAAACTGTTTGATAACTTGTCATTAATTCATATTTATAAATTAATTCTTCAATTGTAGGTAGGAGATGACCAAAGTACATGTTAGTATCACCCTGGAGTAAATCCAAGCTTATTGAAATTGGCCCCATAATTGTTTGATATTGACACATGAGATCAATATCACTTCTATCAAATCTGGAAATATTCATAAATAATTTAGATAAAATAATTAATATTTTAGGATTTCTGTAATTAATATGTTGTGCAGTTAGCTTATTTGCAAATTTCAATCCTAATTCATTTTGAAAAGAGTTCAAAGAGCATAAATATGACCATTTTATATCACCATTTTTTGACTGAATAATTTGTTTGTCAGCTAAAAAAGAACGAGCAAGCTTAAGCATGTGGCAAGTGTCAATCATAAAATATACTTCTATAGATTTATCTATAGTGAATTTTGTATTCAAGTTGTCTATATCAAAACTACAGCCCAACTTTTTGAATCATTGTATGGTAGCAGAAGCACCATCACATGTTACATTCCAGACCTGAATGCTTACCTCATGCAGTTTTACAATAGCTGTAGATAATAATGTACTTAATAAACTACTATTTATCTTATTCACATAAAAAAAAGCAATTGGGCATTTAAACTGTTTAGTTAAGAAAACAACCATAATAACTAAAACTTCAGTAGCAAGCTTTGTACTTTCACCAACACCAAATTCTACATTTCTAGCATATTTTCCTTTATCAGGTTCCCAAATTAGTTGTTTTCTGATCGACATAGAATCAAAAACCAACGAACAGTCTTGTATCCAAGTCTTTTGAGTTATTTCAAGTTTTAAAAATTTGAAGACTCCTTCCAAATACCCAGGCTCACATTCCATAGAGCTCATCCAGCTTCGATAGGTTGAATGATGAGGAAGTCTAAAATGTGTGCGTACAAAATGAATTTTGTAACCAAAATGTTCTTCCAGCTGTGTCGTCACATCATCTGACATCGGGACATTTTTCTTAATGCGCATAACAAGACCTGTAACAGTGTTAAACACAAATACATTTTACAAATTCAATATTGTATTGGAAACAATTATGTTAATTAATTACTTTTTAATGATTTTATTTTTGTTTCTCTTCGCTTAAGGCGTTGTTGTAATACTTTTACTTTTTTTCTCAAAATTGCCTTTGTTGGCGATTGTACAGAACACTGAACACTTTTAGTATTATTTTCAAAATTGTTTGAACTGGAACATTGTATATAGACCGTATGGACAGATATATCACAATTATTGTCAACCTAAATTAATAAATAATAAAATTAACTACCTAAGCAGTCTTATATTTTCAACTTTTTTTTTGTTTGAAGTTGTAGAGTTTATAAAAGTTGCATATCTAGACATTTTTATCTGTCACTGGGTAAAAGTGTATGTCTTAAAATTAGATAATGTACAGTGAAGAAAAGTTTGTAGGTATGTAAACCTATATACACAATTTGTAATTTGTATATAACAACATTTAATGTTGTTAAAAAATATAGTGCAACATTTGTCACTGTGTAGTCTGCAGGATCTAAGTAAATTGCATACTACCTATTAATTAAAAATAGGTAACAACAATTTCTGAAATTAGCATTTCTTAAATGATTAAGATTGTATGATGTAAAATTATTAAACTTACCAATGGGTTTCTTTGTAACAACCGGTAAACAACTTTTTTCTTCTGAAAATGTTGAGGAAACTCTTTAAATACAGATGGAACAGCCTCATCTTTTAACCATTTCACATTTGCTCCTGGACGGATTTGATAGTCTTCATTTGCAAAGTGTTCGCTGCATAAATAGCTATACTCAGAAGGTTTGAAGTTTTTGTGTTTCATTTCATGTATCCACTTTGACAAAACGGATGGCCTCTTTAGAGGAAAGCTAAACCAGGTAAACAAAATAATTTTATTATACTCATCAGACAGTAACGTTTATTTTGTATAATATTAAGGCTATTTATATTAGAATAATCGGTACAAAAATGACTAAAGATACCTATGTTTTTACATACCGGTGAAATTGTATACCACATCCTTTTTTCCGCCGGTTTATACACCCATATGAGGAACACGAAATTACAATGATTAAATAAGTTCGATTGAATTTACAATAAAGCAGGAATTTAACCAGTTGACAGAATTCGACGCCATGAAATAATCGAAATTAATATATTTTCTATGCGTAACGCACTGCTTTGTGCCATATGCCCATATAGTTCTTTTGCCATGCAATGGTGGGGGAAGCGAACCAACGAGCCGGCTCGTATTTTGACCACTAGTGCGCACTGCGCACTCCAGTGTAGTACCTATATACTATATACATCTCGATGGGTGCTTATTAATAGGCAACAGCCATATTCATTTATTTATAGCAGAATCAGTAATCAGTTAAAATCTATGTTTATGTTATGTTTTTGTTTATGAAACAGCGTCGATAAGGAACGCAATTAGGTCATTCAGTGAAAACACGGATTACGACCAATACATAATCGCCGATTACGATAACGCTAATTGCCTATTGAATTTATTCAGTCCAAGATATCCAGATATAAATTGCAATACGTATAAATGATGACCATGAGTATCAAACGTTCTGATTCAGTTTCTATCGGTTCGCAGTCAGAGTTGTTCATCTTTTCCTTAATAATGCCACCTCCCGTGCCACTTAAAGCTTTAAATTTAATGAATGTAGAATGTATGTGTATAATACATATATGTATAATATTAATAAAGATTATACCTAATATGTACATATTATAAAATATAAAACAAAACAATACAAATGTACATAAAAATTTTAATTTTTAAAATATTGAAACCTGTTTACAACGGACAATTATTTTGGTCCCGTGACTGTCCGTTATATACAGGTTTCACTGTATCAAACATTACAAAAAATAGCTATAAATTATTGTAGACGATTGAGATAGAAACATATATTTTCTGATTCATAAATTGCATTATTTAAATTTAATAAAGAATAAATTAAACTACTTGGCAATTATATATAATATATTATATAAATGTAATGTTATACAAATAAATCATAGATATAACTATGAATTACCTATAAAAGGTATAAAAACAGAAAGAATTTTTTTAATGGAATGTTTTCGGGAGGAAACTTTGAACATAATATAATCATGAGGAAAAATCATAACTAAAGAACTACAATCATTGTTGTTGTTCATGAAATCATATAAGAACATGTTTGTTGATTGTTCAAAATAAAACCTTAATCAATGGTCAATGCACATATGTTGTCACATATCGGGTATCGATTTGTAGCCATGTAGGTACATAATATTATGGAGATAGAAATATCGGACAACAGCGCTACAAGAGCATGGCCCGAAGGTGCACATTTTAACTTTAATAATAGTTATAATATTATGATATAGTATGTAGATCCGGTCACTGTCCTCCGCCAACTCGATGCATCAATAGTTTTTAATGAGCTGAAATATGCAGGCCTGACAAAAATCAAGTTGGAAAGTCGTGATTTCACCGCAGGCATTGTAGTGCATATGACTTCAACTGGTGATACACTCGCCATCGCGGATTTGAACTAAAACGAACCCGCCGTTGCACCTGGCCATGATGTCATTATCAATGATATCTAAATAATATTAATATATTGACATGTCATGTCCCGTCTTCTGCCTTGACGAAGGGTGCGTCAAGTGTCATGCCATGTCACTATGTCGCGACAGTCGTTTTTTTATAGCATCACATATTATTTTATTAATTACACTGACGGTTTATGGCCGTTTTTGTTACATGTCCGCCTTAGCCGTAAGTGTCACCTTAATTTCAAGGTGCATTCGTATTTTGTTGTGGCACATTCCGCTTTCAGCGTCACTGTAGTGCTCCCGTCGAATTTATACATTTTATCAGCTTGCATGTGGTATGTCACGTTTGTTTGCGTTCCGTATCGCTGTGTTCTTGCACTCCGTTGTTACTTGTTATGCAATGACAATTAATCCGTCCTTTTCTGTCCACGCATCTTATATACCATGGTTTAGTGGTATACTACTGTCGTGTTGCGTTTTCGTCCTTTGTCGAGTCGTTGACGGTGTAACAGGATAGTCATGGTATCGGCCCACCGAGTTTCATTAAATTATATATTTCTATACACATGTTTGTAGTTTGTACTCATTTCTCATTATAATAAAAAGAAAAAGTTATCACTTAACACTCATAACTGGCCCATATTTTGAGTGGCCCATCGAGATTTCCTCGGCAGCTTGCCGATCCGACCATTGCCTGAATTGTTGAATGTCATACAATGTATTCTTCTGATGTATCTCGGGCGTTTTGTTTCATTCGAATGTGTCAGCCTAATATCTGGCCTTGTATCGCGATACATATTGTTACATACAACATTGAACATATTACATTTAATTCTTTAAATATTGGTTAGTGGTTATATAAACGATAAACAAATTATTATATTACTAAGAGGCATTCCTTGCTTCTGCGACGAACCGCACGTTTTTGTTACCATATTTTTGAAGGCCACATGCCCACACGCCCACACTACACGCGATTGGATGACCGTGTTATTATTTATTTATAATATTAAAATAGTGATCCGTCCGACGTTAGATTATGATATAATATCGCACATGCAGTAGGAAGTGCAATCGTGCATTATTTACGCTTGATCCTATTCTGTGTATTACAACGTGCCTTAGGTAAAAGCGGACCAAGTTCCTCAAAGGCATAGGCGTAACTTGGACTCTAATCACGTGGGGGCAAAAATAATTTTTGACAATCTCTACACATTTTTATAATCTTTAAATTTAATATTTATTATAAAACTGTTTTATCATTTTTACCACCATTCTCCATTTAATTCATTTTAAGCAAACATTTTTTTATATACCTAATACCTATACTATAAGTTTTATACCAAACTATAACAAAATTACTACTTTTTTTTTAAACCATAATTAATATTTATAATATTAAAAAAATTAAAAAGAAACTGTATAGAAAACAACTTGTTTTAAGTTTTAGATTCTGAGCGAAGCGATGAATGTATTGATTTTACAATGATGTGTGTTTTTTTTTTTATTTTTGTGTCTGTC